TACAGTCTGGAATGACCCACCCGAGGTTGGAGGCAGATGCTAGGACCCTTCCACCTCTATTTGTCTTCCCCATGACACAAGGAAAATACCCACACCCAGCACTTCTTTTCCCCAAGACAGCATGGGGAAAGCACCCACAGCAGGAGGCCACCACCTTGCCACTGAATGCTGCTGAAGCCCCACATCCATGGGCAAAAGCGACCTGAGCAGGGTGCGGGACCCAGGGCAAATCAGCCCATGCCAGGCTCTGCCTCCACTCCAATTCCACAGGCCCTGGACCCAAAGAAGCTGCCGCCACCATAGGCAATTAAAGCAAACACAAAACTGCCTTCCAGCTTCTGAGATCAACCCTGAACAGTCCCAGTGTTGCCAATATGCCTCTTCAGCAGGTTTGTGGATGCCAGCAGTAAGCCTCAAAAATCCCATGTAAGATTTTATTTTCCAATAATACAATCCAGCTAAAGGGAATGCTTCACTTCATATTAATTTCTACTCTGCTGCCCTGAGCAAAACAGCCTGGACAAGTTCCTTATGGTTGCCACCTTTGGTTTCCTTGAAGTCAGACTCATTGCAAAAAGGATTATCCTCCTTCCATTTAAAGGCATTTTTAAATTCCAAAGAGCCAACAAGTTCCATAAGCATATTAATGGTAAGTTTGTCTAGTTACCTTTATACTATAGAACTCCATTACATTGTCCTCCTCTACTACCTGTTCATGTTACTGAATTAAAAAAAAACAAACCCAACAACCCGTGTTTCAAGATTTAAGCAAGCTCTACCCACCAGAAGGCAAGATGAAATCTACAGAGGGTGTAGGGTTGGGGGAAATTTAGTCTGTACCTATTTCAACCTTCTCCTAAAGTGTCTAATGCTGGCCATTCTTGGAGATAAGAAGCTAGAAACAAATGGGCCGTGGGTCTGATGTGATGCAGCAGTTCTGTTCTTCCTAGCCACTAATATTATTCCAAGACCAATGATCTACCATATTTACCTGCATACCACATGCACCTCTCCTCCAAAAAATTGGGGTGCATGTTTTAAGTAAGCAACCTGATTTCAATGCTGGGATGGAGGTGTATGAATGCTGTAATGGCTGCCAGGGGCTGGCTTCCTCCCATCCACAGAGAGGAGAGATACAATCTGCTGCTCAGCCAAAGCTAGAGGTTTAACCATGTCATAGCCACCACCAAATTGGCAGCAGCTTTTGGCTAAGCAGCTGAAAGCTGAGCAGCCAATTTAGCAGCAGCTGTGACAGAGTTAAAGTCCCCTAACTTGGCTGAACAGGAAAGACAGGGTGAGTGACACTGGGCACATCTACACAAGATGTTTACTGTGCAGTAGACTAGTTAGCTGTGCAGTAAACATCTTGATGTCTACACATGCACCCCTATTAGGCTAGAGTACACTAATTTACTCCACAGCAGGATACTACTTGCATTTAAGTACATCCTGCTGTGGAGTAAAAAAGTCTGCAGTAGTGCCAGTGTAGACTTGCCTTGGCTGGCTGGGGCATGAGGGTTCATCAGTGCATGGGCTGCCTGCCAGCTAGCCCCACACTGAAGCTCCCTTGCACCCCAGCCAGCCCCTCTGCAGCGCTCTTTATTGGGGGGAGCATCCCCAGGCTGGCAGGTTGGCCCCCTGGGGCCTCCTGCCAGCCAGAGCTGGTCTGACCTGGCTCCACACGTTGTGCATGAATGAACTCCAGAGCTTATTGCTCGAGTTAATTACTCCTGGGCACACGTTCAAGCGGCGTGCCCAGGAGCAAGAATTGCTGGAGCAATAAGCTCCAGAGTTTATTCATGTGCAGTGTAGCCCATGTAGACATGCCCGCTAAAGAGACTGTATCCCTGCTCCATTCAGCTATGACTCCGGAAAAATCTATTTTTCCTTCATTCTGCCTTCTCAAAACAAGGTGTGCATCTTATTTGTGGGTGTAAGGTATGTGAATCCCATATGGTATTCTTCATATATTTTTAAGGTACGCTATTGCTTTGGTGTCTAAACCCCTATCAATACTTTTTAGTGAGAGGGGCACAGGGCTGCATCCTATTATGTGACAACATTGCACTGCAGTTACCATGCCAGGCAATGGTGCACTGAAAGCATGCTGTGCTTTTTATACTCCGCCTAAGAATCAAAGTAGTGTTGCAGTTTGCCTGGCAGTGCTTTACTTGCCTACAGTGCCTAATTAGCCTGCCTATAGTGTCTCAGCAACTCACCAGCGAGGGGTTCTCCAGCTACACAGCTTCTGGTTCAGAAGGCAGCCTGACCAGAGAAGTGTGGAGGGTTCAAATTATGGGGGAGCTCGGGGGGGCTGAGCCCCTCCCCCCATAAGAGATGAGAGCCCCTGTAAGATCTGAAAATCATAACCTGGGAGGGGGGTCTCTGATTTTATTAGGGCATTGTGATGGGCAGCCCTTTTTTTTGCAGATCCCCCCCACCCCAAGAGTCAAAGTGTAATTTGAACCCTGGATGTATGCATGCAGCTGTCTGGTCTGGTAAGAGGACCTTGAATAGGACAAACTGCAGGTGTGATCTAGCTAGTGCAATGAAGATACAGCAGCATGGGGCATACCCAGGGTCCCCAGAGACGTTGTTCTCAGAATCCCAGTACACACAATCATAGGGAGGGACTGAGAGGCCATCTAGTCCGTTCCTTACCCCCAAACAGTATCAACTATCTCATCCTTTCATGACATGCATGTCTAACCTGATTTTTTTAAGCCTACAGAGATCCCACAACTTACACAGATAATTCATTCCTGTGCTTAACTGTGCTTACAGTTGGAAAGAGGTTTTCCCCCCCACCCTAATGTCTTTTAAAACTCTTGCTGCAACCTAAGCTTATTACTTGTCCTATCCCCAGTGCACATGGAGAACAAGGTACAACCTTTCTCTTTGCAGTAGCCTCTCACTTAATTGAAGATTATGTCTGCTCATCAGTCTCTCTTCTAGACTAAACCAATCCAGTTCTTTTTATCTTTCATCAGAGGTCATATTTTCTAAATCACTTTTGTGGCTCTCTGGATTCTTCCTAATTAGCCCACACCTTTTTTAAGTGCAGTGTCCAAAACTAGATGCAATGTTCCAATGGAGACCTTAGCAATACTAAGTGGAGTGAAAGGATTATTTCATGCCTTCCATCTGATATTCCCATTTATATATATATTCAGTTTGTGATCTACTCTAGCCTCTAGATCGGGGTGGGCAAGATGCCTGCCAGGCCATTCTATCCAGCCCACAGGGCCCCTAAAAAATTTAGAAAATTAATATTAATCTGCCCTGGGTTGCTGGTCATGTGGCCCTCGATGGCTTGCTGAAACTCAGTAAGTGGCCCTCTGCCCAAAATAATTGTCTGCCCCTGCTCTAGATCCTCTTTCTAAGAACTACTTCCAAGCCAGTTTCCTCTTTTATCTTTGTGTGGCTCGTGATTAGTTTAGTTCAATACTTTTGAATTTCTTCCTATTTATTTCAAACTGTTTCTCCAATTTGTCAAGATCCTTCTGAATTCTAATCCTGTCCTGCAAATGGAAAAACTGTACTTCTTATTCCATCATTTATACAATTAATGAAAATATTGACTAGCACTGGATTCAGAACCCCTCACTTGATATATTTTTCCAGTTCTAAAGTGAGCTGTTTAGAACTACTCTGAGTGTAGTTTTTCAACCAATTTTGTAGCTACCTTACTGTAATGTCCCCTAGACCAGTGGTCTCCAACCTTTTTAAGTAGAAGATCATCTTTAGCATTTAAAAGCAACCCAAGGTCTACTGTGCACCACTGCCACCACCCGCTTTGTCCTGCCCAGCAGGTAAGTCTGGGGAGAGAGGGGGGGGGCCAAATCAAAGCAGAAGGAGAAAAAAATTATTTGGGGGTGTACCTCCCCAGCAGGTAAGTCCTACCTGGCTGGGGCCCCACTCAACTTACCCCTCCTCCTGCCTCTGCGGCACTATCCCTCACTGCAGGGGCCTTGATCTGGGCTCTGCCCCTTCTGTCCCCCACAGACTGACCTGCTGGGCTGGGACATGCACACGCATGCGGGCACTCGGCCCTCACCCCAGCCTCGGATCGACTCCAAGAGACTCTGAGATCTCCTGGTGGATTGAGATCCACTGGCTGGTGATCACTGCCCTAGACCACAGTTCCCTAAATGGCTTAAAAAGCTGTCATTTAGGACTGCGCTAAAAAGCATTGCTGAAGTCCAGATCTATCACATCTAGTTTATTTCTTTATTCACTAAGTCTGCTATTGGGTTGTGCAGAAATTAGGCTGGTTGACACAACTTGTTCTTGAGAATCCAAACTGGCTATTCTAGGTGCTTACACACAGGTGGAGTATTTATTCCCTTATGTTTCTGGGAATAGAGGCTGGGCTGGCTGCTCTGCAATTCGCTGGATTTTCCTGTTTAAGGATAGCAACCCTGAGCCTTCCGCAGTTTCCTGGAGTCTCGCCCCTCCCCCACGCGTTGTCCAGGGTGGGGGAGAGCGGTGGGGACAGCCCTCTGGCCGGCTGCCACAAGCTGAGTCCTGCCCCCCGGACCCCTCTCGCCTGCCCGGTGCCGTAACAACCACGGGTGGTGCCCGCAGCGGCAGGCCGCCCTCGCCCGCACAGAGCTGGGGCCGCGCGCCCACACGTTTGCCCAGGAGCGCAGGCCGGGGCGGGAGCCGCCCTTCCCAGTCTCGGCGCCCCCAACCAGCTGCTCGCGGCTCCGCCCTGCGCCTGCCGGGCAGCGCCCCTGGGAGCCCCTTCACTTCAGCGCCTGGGCTGGTCGGCCCCGTCTCTTGCTACAGCGCTGCTCTCCCTTCTGCTCCCCGCCCTACACACTCTATCTGCTCTGCTTTCGGTTGCCGGCAGTCCTCTCGCCTGCTCTGCTTGCTGCTCCTCACCTGAAGTGCTGCTGTGCGCCACCCACCTGAGTCTCCGCTTGCTGCTCCGCCCCGCCCCGCGGCCTCCGGCCTGCAGGGGGCGATCCCCCGGGCGGCGCGTGGCCCGTGCCTGCCTTCTCGGCGCCGGGCGAGACCAGGCTAAGGCCGGCGCGCAGCCCGGGAGGGGGGACAGGTACGGGCAGGCCGCGGCGGTTGCGGGAGGAGGGCGGATTCGTTAGCGGGAGCGGAGGAGTCCCCGGCCCGGCCCGCGGCAGCGGGGGTGGGAGGAGAACAATGACAAGAACAGGGGACGCCTCTGAATTGAAAACCCCGGGGGGCAGCGGCACGGGCCGTGTCCGCCTTGCAGGTGCCGGGGAATGGGGGAGACCCGGTGTGTAGCTCTGGAGAAGCGCGGGGGACAGTGCAGCCTGCCCGCCCCTTCCTCCCACCCCCCCGGCTGCC